TAAGATATTTTTTAAGGTTGCATATTCCACGACTGTATATAATTTAAACATATCCCTATTATGCTCAAGTTGTTGCTAATTTTTCATTATCACAAAAAATGTTAAGATGAGTGTAGTTGTAAATAAAGGTTGTTTCATACTTAGGATTAGAATAGATTACTGAAAATGGAATAATTAGGTCAGAATACAGTTAACAGTTCAGTAAACATTTATTGTGAGCAGGTACAAAAGTAAACAAGGAGCTTTTTAACCACACTGAGCTTATAAAAAGAATATATAGTTTAAAGGCCTTTTAAATGTATCTCACAGTGCTTCCAAAAAGGCTTGTATCAATTCTTAATGTTATCTGAAATATTTGAGAGTGCAAGGTTTACTAGAGTCATGACAGAATTGACGATTATACCATTTAAACTTATTAATGTAATAGGCAAAAATAGTAAACATGCACACAGTGTCTGACATAAGCACTATTATGTTAGCTACCATTATTATTATCAAGTAAATATAGTTTTTCTCTAATTCTTTTAAGATACCATTTTTAACATTTAACTTTTTAATACATCGTAAATATATTTTAATGTTCATCCATCTTAAATTTGTCTTAATACACTATATGAGGTAGGCATCTCATTTTTTATTTCTTCCTAAGAGTCATTATTTAACAGCACCAATTACAGAGCAAACTTAATTGTTTAGAGCTGCAGTCCACAATACCTGGGCTGGGAACCAGTACCAGTCTGTAGCCTGTTAGGAACCGGGCTGCACAGCAGGAGGTGAGTGGTGGGCAAGGGAGCGAAGCTTCATCTGTATTTACAGCTGCTCCCCATCACTCCTCATCCACGCCCCCACAACCCCTGCCCACCCCTCTGCTACCCATCTGTGGAAAAATTGTCTTCCATGAAACTGGTCCCTGGTACCAAAAAGGTTGGGGACCACTGGTTTAGAGCATGGCTCTGAGCCACATGGCTTGTGTTTGAATCTTGGCTCTCCTGTTACTCAAATGTGATTTGGGGAAGGTTAGTCAAGCAGAATAATAAAAATACCTATCTCACAGAGTTGTACAGATGAAAAGAATTAACTAATACAAAGCCCTTCAACCAGGGCTGGCATATAAGGAATGCTTCATAAGAATCTGTTGTCATTATTATTTATTGAGTACTCTATCCTTTTCACACTTACAGGAAATACCATTTTCGTCATATAATGAACCTGTGGGTCTGTCTCTAGGCTTTTTACTTAGTTCCCTTGATCTGGCTTCCGTCCACCACATTTTAATGATTATAACTTTATAATACATTTTGATATCTCACACTGATCTTTTAGAAATTTTATTTTCTACTCTTCAACATTTTCCCTCTGAGATAAACTTTAGAATAACTGTTCCAAAAGAATACCTCTGTGATTCTGATAAGAATTACATTCTATTTATAAATTAATTGGGAGAAAATTGACATTCTTATGTTACAATACTGTCTCGGAACAGGATATTTCTCTCCTTACAGGAATGTCCTCTTACATTTCTGCTCAGTAAACTTTCGACGTTTTCTTTTTGTAGGTCCTTGTTAAGTTTGAACCAAAATATTTTATATTTTCATTGTCAATGTTTCTGGGATAATTCATTCAACTGTATATGCTATATAGTTATTAGTGATACTTATAAATCTGCTGATTTTTATAAATTTATTTAAAATAAAACTCCAATTCTAACAGGTATTCATTTAACTCTTTTGAGGTAAATGATTATTTCATCTGGAAATAATTTATCTTAATTTGTTTGACTTTTTTGATGTTAAGATTTAACTTTGCAGATAATCAAAACATGTTGATGTTTTTCTTTCTTCTAATTGCTTCCAAGTATAGACAATGTCCTCAACTCCATTCAGATCACTCAAGTTTTATTTTGTAGTTTTAATGTTTTATTTAAAATTCTTGGAGCTAACTAGAATTTATTTTGATTATGGTATAAAATGAGTGTGCAGAAAAAACTTTACTCAGAAAGACAATACCATTTATTGAATAACAATACTGTTATAATACTGAATAACAATACTGTTTATTGAATGGTTCTCCACTTTCTTTTCTCATTGATATACAGTTCTTCCCTGATCATATAATAGACTATGTAGTCTGCTTCATCAACCTATTTTCCTAAATATAAGCAAAAT